TTTTTTTAAAAAGTACTTTAAACTGTATAAATAATGTAAAATTAAATTGATTTAAACTGCCAATCATACGAATGTCTACCTATGAACCTCTGATCCATATCCATACTATCGATAACGTTATTATCGTCCGGCAGTTGTTACTATAATATGGGGTCTTTGCCTTGAAAATGACCTTACAACATCATGTACCGTAAGGTCATTTTCAAGGCAAAGACCCCATATGTATTTGATCATATTAAATAAATAACGTTACTCTAGAATGATATAAACTCGATTTTTTATTTTTCTTTAAGTAGTTCTTATATGTAAAAATTTTCAATGTTATCAATCAAGTTTAAAACAGAATAAAAAAGAAAAAAATAGGATTCAATATAATCTTCAAATTTTAATTAATTTAATTTTATTATATAATTTATTATAATAATAATATTTAAATTTTAATTTAGTATTAGCTTTATTAATAAAAAATTACAGTATAAATGTTATCTTGCTTTAATTAGTTAAATCATGCTTCAAACCCTATTTAAACACTATTTGAAAGCATATACAGTATAAACCAAGTTTGAACTATACTTATATGCTATATGGTGGTTATGTTTACTTGAGCATATTAGTTTAAACCTACTATATACTATTTATTTTACTGTAGTCTTTTATCAATAATATTTCATATACAGTGATTCATTTACCGATTGACCATTGCGCCTAAACATGGTATTGTTTGTTACCACTTCTAACAAGTTTATTCTAGGAATAATTATTTATACTTTTAATGCATTTTGAGATATTGTTAGGTACATTTTTTTATAAATTCTATCATTTATAACAATTAACTTTAAAAAATTACAAACCGTAAAATTTTTTGCTCAAAAAACTGATTTCGAATTCGATACGTACAAGCATGGTGAGTTTCAAATTTTGTATTCTCTCATATATATATATATATATATATATACAGTATATCAGATATATAAATATGTAAACTATATCTGATATCTAAATAATAAAATACGTAATTTGATATTCTGTAAACTATTTACTTCATTTTTGGTAAATTTTTTTAGAGTATATCAATATTTTAATTAAATTGGATGTCTTAACTATTCAAATCATTTCGATATTAATTCTTTTTAAATCAAAATGTCGAGGCAAAAAGATCTATAATGCATATATAACATTTATAGCATTTATGACATTTACGAAAATGCAGTACGTAATGTTAATTCATCTACAAAAACGTGTATCTAATCCAATCACGTGTAACTACGTGCTCATCTTATTCCAGCTTTTTTTAACACAGCATGGTAAAATTTTAAGAATTATTATTATTTATATTTTAACCTTTATTAGTAAAGAAGAAGGTATGATCGCCGGCTAGCTTTAATTTTGATCGGTGATCTAAAATACCTAATTATTGGATCAATCAAGCAGATAACTTTGTTTTAGTGTAACGTTGCCATGAATAAATTTAGTGCACCTTAAATCATTCCATTTCTTTACTACAAATCACATTTTGTTTTTCATTCCTTTATATTTATTTTATTTATTATTTTATTTTTTTTTCGTAAAAAAAAAACATGGATAGTTGGTATGAAGTGCTCACAGCGTGTGATCCAAGCCTAAATGTTGTTCAATCCATAGCGGCCATCGCTTTCGATCCATATCAAGAACTTTTATGGACTGGAAATGACAAAGTAATTGTTTGATTTTTAAAATTAAGGTTTTTTTCTTTAATTTCTTTACAATTAAATGAATCAATCTAACATTATATTAATTTAAGAATATAAAAATGTTAATAAATACTTAAATAATAATCATAAGGGTCGAGTGATTTCTCATTTTGGTGATAACTTACAACGATATACAAGTTTTCGATCGCATTTATCTCAAGTTCGCCAGTTATTAGTCAGTGATAGTGGTGTAATATCATTAAGTCCAGATTCTATCAGAATGACCAATCGAAGAGGTTTGGTCAGGTGGACTATGAGGTGTGACTACTCTGCTTGAACTTACATTCAATGCGCTTGTTATAAATATTGCTTATTCGTTTCTCCGATATTTTCTGGATCAAAATATATTATAAAGCAATGAAGATACTACAAACTTACATTGTATGGCTTATACTACTATTCCGAATTCGGAGATTCTGGCTGCTGGAAAACAGCATAATATGCTTGTTATCAATGTTGCAAGAGGCTCCGTAGTTAAAAAGGTTATTAATAAATATTATAAATATTTTTTAAATTCTTTTATTTTTCAAACGAGACCTTTCTGATCTCTGGACTTTGTGCGAATTAGGTCGAATCAGATAATGAAATTGTAGTTATGCGAAAATCAAGACTTGTCTGTTGTGGTGCAACTTCTGGTGAAGTGATTTTGAGGGATCCGAACACTTTCAGAGTTGAACATAGAATACGTGCACACACTGGAACTATATCTGATATAGACACTAGTGGAAATTTGCTATTAACTTGTGGATATTCTGTCAGGTTTGCTACGTCTTTACAATAGTTTATAAGCTATTTACATTTTATTATTAATTTTATTATTAATTTTTATTATCAATTTTATTATCAATTTTATTATCAATCTATTAATAATTTTATTAATAATTTTATTATCAATTTTATTATCAATTTTATTATCAATTTTATTATCAATTTATTATCAATTTTATTATTAATTTTATTATTAATTTTTATTATTAATTTTATTATAAATTTATTATTAATGATTAATATCGAATATCAACATTTTAGACATGGGAGTCTTATAATTGATCCTTTAGTTAAATTATTTGACATTAGGGTAATGCGCCCTCTTGCACCCATTTCTTTCTATTCTGGTCCCTCTTTTATCAGAATGCATCCCAAACTTTCAACTACTGTTTTCGTCGTGTCTCGAACTGGACAATTTCATGTTTGTGACGTAGGAAATACATCTGATGTTCATTTTTATCAGGTATTTCTCTTATCTTATTAACTGTCACGTAAATTATTCTTGTAATTGTATTCATTTTTTTTCAATTTAAAGGCAAATACTGCTAGTTATATAAATGCCTTTGACCTTTCAACATCTGGTGAAATGCTTGCGTTTGGTGATGGTGCTAGTATTATACATCTTTGGGGTGATAGAAAAAGTTCAAAAATTAATGCTTACTCCAATAATATTGAATTACCCGCTGTTGCTCCTCCAACTCCAAATATATTTGTCGGTGAAAATGAGTATGTTTATTATTTATTTATATAGTAGTTTTAAATAATAAAATATATATATATATATATATATTATTTATTTATTTATTTATTTATATTCTAAACTTTGAACATAATAACTTTCAGTTCCTTATCATTAATCGGGATGCCTTATTATCGAGAACCATTGCTTTCTGTGTGGCCTTCTAATATGATGTTTGAAGTTGGAAATCCGCCTCCAAAAATTGATCCTGATATTATAAATAATATGAAAATGATTGATTTTGTTGGATATGCCCCAAATCCAGGTAATAAAAAACGAAATCAAGTTGTTAGATGGTCAAGGAAAAAGCATAAAGCCGGAACTCCCAAATTTCATTCTGAAAAGGAAAGAGAATTACAATCTGGAAAAGAGTCCAAGGTAATCCTTTGATAACTATTATAATGTATTTATAACAATATTTGAATGATTTTTCTTTTACAGGAGCCGACTACTTTATTTGATGATGAAGCTGAATTAGGTGCGATTGGTACTAGAATGCCAAAATATTATAAACGGGTGGAAATTAAATATAGTAGATTTGGCATTGATGACTTTGATTTTGAGTGAGCTCTTTAAATATTTTTCATAATTTATATAGATTTATTAGTTGTTTATTTGTTTAAATATAAATTTTTATTTACTTTCTGACAGGTTTTACAATAAAACTCGTTATGCAGGATTAGAGACACATATAACAAATTCATATTGCAATTCATTATTACAAGTTTTATTTTTCACCCCGGCTCTTTGTTTAATAACTAAATCTCATATTGGTTCCTCTTGTTCAAAAGAAAATTGTCTTTGTTGTGAACTTGGATTTTTGTTTCGTATGTTGGAAGATGCTGTAGGAAGAAATTGTCAAGCTTCTAATTTTTTGAAAGCTTTCAGTACAATCCCACAAGGTAAGTTGGGCTCGCAAAAAAAATGAATTATGTAAAATCATCTTATTTATATGATTTCGATGTTCAGCGTTAGCTCTCGATCTATTTGAACCGGATAAGCCCGACGAAAAGTTTCCGTATTCAGTGCTTATTCAGAATTTTAATCGTTTCATCCTTGAACAACTTCATCAGGAATGTAATTCTGATAATAATCCTCGATTATTAAAATCTTTGCCTTTGGATAAAACATCTCTTTCGATGATTCAACAATTACTCGGAATGCAAATGATTTCGGTTAATAAATGTCAATGTGGAACGGAAACTGAACGCAATATCACTTCATTCGTTGTTGATTTAAATTATTCTTCAAAAGTAAGATTAATAATCTCATTTATTGTTATTTTATTGTTATTTTATTTTTATTCTCATTGAACACATTTTTTAACCTTGTTTAATGATATTCAGAATTCAAAGGATAAACACACTACATCAAGATCTTTTGTAGACGTTTTACGGTCAAGTATTAGACGTGAAACCCAGCCGAAAGCATGGTGCGATAATTGTCAACAATATACTCCTATGATTGCTAAAAAGATACCAAAGAGTCTACCTCCTGTTATGACTGTTAATTGCGGTTTTGGAACATCAGTTCCACTGGATTATTGGAGATCCCTTGATAGGAACAAACCTTGGGTGCAAAAAAGGTATTTTTCTTTTCAAAAATATTAATTTTAGGATTAATTGAATGTGTATTTTTATCTAACTTTGTGATAGGATTTATATGAGACTAGAACAGGATGATTTAATTGTAAAAGAACTAGCATCAGATGCGGTTGTTGATACTAGTTATACAGGCAATTTTAATAGTGCAAATTATGAAATAATGGTTAGTAATTAACATATGTATATGTGTTGATTTTTTTTATGAGTTATAATATATATATTAACAATTTAAATATTTATTTTCAAAGGCCATTATTGCTCAAATTAGGATTGATAAAGAAACACCGCATTTGGTAGTTTTTATAAAAGGTTATATATCTATTTATTTATAATATTTTCAATAATTATATTGATTTATTTTCAAATGAATTAACAATCTTAGTTTATTAGTTCCCAATAACCAACTAGAGCCAGGAAGTAAAGGCCCTTGGTATTTGTTTAATGACTTTTTAGTAAGAAATGTGACAGAGCAAGAAGTATTTAATTTTCAAGGATTATGGAAAGTGAGTGAAAATATTTGATAAAACTATACATTGTTTTTAATACTTTATTAGAATTTTTATATATAACATGTATGCTACATCTTTAGACACCAGTCGTTTTATACTATTCAAGAATTGATATTAATGATTTGATAGATATAAGTGTCTTACCTTCTGAAATTGATAAATCTATACTATTTAAAGATATTTCTATATCAAAGTAAGTGGTTTAAATTCCTTTTTTTTTGAAATGAAAATGTTATATTATATTTAGTTTGGTTTAATTGTTTCAATAGGCATCGATTAACAAATAAGAAAACAGCACATTTACTAACCCCGGAGGAATTGCCACAGCCTGGAACATTAGTCGCAATTGACGCTGAGTTTGTTGTTTTAAACCAGGTACGTTTTCAGCGGTGCTGCTCACTTCACCGACAATCATTTCACCGAAAGTTCACATAGCCGACATCACATAGGGTTAGGTTAGCGTTTTATTAGTTGCAGGTATATATTTTTAGTAAATTGTCACTTGGTGTTATGTCGGTTAAGTGAGCTGTCGGTGAAATGATTGGCGGTGAAGTAAGGCGGATCCCGTTTTCAGGTCATTTATTCAAAAGTTCATCTCAGTATTTATCATAATTCGCTTTTTTTACTTAGGAGGAAACAGAAATTAGAAGTGATGGAACAAAATCGGTTATTAGACCAAGTCGTCTAAGTTTGGCTCGTGTTAGCGTTTTACGTGGTGAGGGACCAAAAGAAAGTATACCATTTATTGACGATTATATAGCAACATCAGAACCCGTTGTTGATTACTTAACTGAATTTTCTGGGATTGAAGGTCTCCTTCTTTGTTTATTAAAATAATTTAAAATTTTATGAATTGGTTGTAAATCTGGGCATATTTTAATACATGCTTTCATATTATCATTATCGATATTTAGCCGGTGATTTGGATATTTCAAATTCTAAACATACATTAGTTCCTCTCAAGGTACTACTTTAGTATTATATTTTGAGCTCGTTATCATACTTGCCGTCAAATTACAGACTGTTATAATTTTGGTTTGTCCATGCACAAATTCCAAACTCTGACCAAACTAATATCTCAAAAACTTTGTCAATAGTCATATTTAAACAAATGCAAAATGTAAGAATATTTCTTGATTCAAGTTTTTATAAATGACAATTGTTTTTTGGGATTTTGGATTTGTTCGGGTTTTGTCGGCAAGTATACTTATAATTTAGTTCTAAACAATTTATTCATACTAACTAGGTTGCTTATAAAAAATTACGATTACTTCTTGATTTTGGTTGTGTCTTTGTTGGTCACGGATTAAAAAAAGATTTTCGCATAATAAGTAAATTATTGTTTCAAAATACTTTTAAATTTATAGTTTTATATACTTATTAATCCATATTTTAATTATAAAAGATATATTAGTTCCTCCAGAACAAGTAATTGATACAGTTGATCTATTTCATTCAAAGAATCGTGCAAGGTATTATTATTTAAATTCCAAAATAATTTGAATAATTTTGACACAGATAATTTATTTCATTGATTATTATGATCATCTAGAAAAATATCGCTTCGATTTTTGGCTTGGTATTTATTACGACAAGATATACAAACAGAGACACATGATAGTATTGAAGATGCTCGAACAGTAAGTCTTTTTTTTTTAAAAAAAAATCATATAACTTAGATTTTGACTTTTTAAAAAACTTTATCACATTTTGTACAAAGGCATTAGCAATCTATAAAAAATATTTACAATTTAAATCTGAAAATATATTTGAAGAAGTGTTAGAAGATATTTATAACGAAGGTAAAAAGTGTAATTGGAAACCTATCCCTGGAGCATTTCCCACTATCTCTTATTAATATAGTATAGAAAACAAAAAGTTGTACAATTTTTTAATTCTGTTACAATTTACTATTTTAATAATAAATATCCTGAATTTTAAATTCGTAATCTAATGCCTTTTATTGAAATTTTTTTTTTGATGATTTTCAAAAACACTTGCAATTTTTTTATTTAAATATTAAAAATTATATAATTATGTTTTCTGTCTTGTTTTGAATATTCTTGTTTAGAAAGATAGATTATTAAAATTTTTGAGCAAGTCACATTCTTTTTCGTGATAAAGATAGTTCTTTATAGTTTAGGATTGAAATTATTCTGCTTTTTTGAAATTACAGAATACGTACTGTACATAATTAATAAAGTTACGCACCTAATTAATGTTATCGTGACTGGTCGCATGTCGTAAAATTCATAAGGACGATTCTAGCGATTACAGTCGATTTGGCGTTAGTCGATAAATTGACTAAGTCAACCACGCGATTGACTTAGTCGAGTCGATGAAAAATATATCATGGATACTGGAGAAATTCGGACATATATATTTTAACATACAACGAATAAACGACTCGTCAGCTCAGCTCAGTCGAGTCGAAAATTTTATCTACAAGCCCAAAAAAAAAAAAAAAAGATAGCCAATCAGGGCGTAAATTTGTTTATCCCGGATCAGCTCAACACGCGCGCGTACGTAGCGATTTCCTTTCTAAGCTAGTAACACTCGTAGGCATATAACGTATATGAAAAACTTTTCCGCAAGAATTGCAGAATTGGGAAATGAAGGAGCTCGTAGCAATTTTGCGAGAGCAAAAGAAAAACTTGAAATTTTTATTTGTGAAGCAAAACCTGTAGGATGTACCTTCTTTTGACATACGATGGATTTAATGATTGCGATTTGAATACGGGTTCAGGAGAATAATTTTACGACACCTGATATGGTATAGAACCATGTGTCATATTGTTTATTTACCATATTTTCGCGTAATAACGCTCATGAGCGTTATTCAGAAAATTGCGACTCCTAAAAATAATATACAGTAAGACCTCTCTAAATGCACGCCCTTGGAACCACATTTTAATAACATATATATAGAGAATAATAAGAAAAAGTACATTTATAGAGGCCAAGTATATATTTGGGCCAGCACTTGAGCATACATTTAGAGAGGGTGTGTACTTATAGAGAGTGCATCTGACTGTATATAGTTTCAAAATAACGTTCGAAACAACGCGCACCCTATAGTACAGCGTTGGCATATGACCTGTTATTACTTATAAAATTTACTAATACGTTATGACCACCTTGGTCATATCATATGGGCTAGGATTTTTGATGGGAACGTTGTGATTAAAATTAAGTGATATAATAGAATATGTCTATCGCAGATCATAATGAAATCGGATTAAAATGAAACTGGGATTAAAATGAAACTGGGACCTTTCTTGCTCATCTTTAAAGCTTATAAAACCCACTTATACTCTTTTATTAATAAAA